TAAAATACTTCATACCATTTCGCAGCAAGACGGAGTTTACTTGCATTCATTCAAGAAATAGGCAAACATCACAGCGTTCCCCAAATTTATATCACAAAACTTTTTCTTGCGATGGTAAAAAAATCAACTTGGGATACACGCACAAAAATTGCTAGTAGAATGATTGGAAAATCTGAATAATAAGCCCAGGAAGCCAAGTTTCACAGATCACAAAGAGCTCTTACATAGTCCCCCTAAAAATTCATATTACAAAAAGCAAATATAGAAAAAAGACTACCAAAAAAACATAAAAAGGAGGAAAGAAAACAACTTGAAATCATCTAAACCTTCCTATAGATTCCACTATGGCGCGACCATCTGGCAAGACAATGGTAGTTAACAAGCAACCTTCGACACACGAATTTATCTCAAATGACCAATCTAAAAATTTATAACAGCCAAATCATAGTCTAGTAGGAATAGATAACCCTATAAAATCAAGACTAGCAAGAAGAAAACAGACGAGCCATCTGTCCAATTATATCAAGCAGAAGTCACCCATCATAATTGCGAGATCAGGTTGGAACACTGCGATTAACACAATTACTGTAAAAGACACTGAGAATACCACAGCAACATACAAACAGACACAGACCTAACGTCGCAATTTCATTTGTGCTCTCTACCTCAAGATGAACCAAAAACCCATGCTCAGCTGTCCTATGCTTAACATATGCTACAAGATAAGAAAGATATCTTTAGACCATGACAAAGTTATATAACATGCACCACTTCATAGCAGCATTAACTAGTGTTACTAATTATAAGAAGTTAGAACAAACTACATACCTGCAAATTGATTTAGAAAACTATTATGCAGCTTTTAAGGAACAAAATTTTGACTAATAAAAGCAGAGCCAATTGACCAATTGCATGATGAGTCTATTAATAATGTTCAAATCCATGCAGAAGAGCTAGACATGAGATGGAACACAATTTTATATGTAGGAAAATGTTAAATCAGCCAAGTGAAATGCCAATCTAATATCATATTTCAAACCCAGTCAGACCTTTATGCACCTTCAGACTGAGACGATGGTCATGAGATGGTTGTAGAAATGTCAACAAGAAGGTTATCATGCACAACAGACCAAATATAAACAAACAAGTTCTGGAGAAACTTAATAGAAAATAAAGTTCCAGACACAACCAAACAGGTGAGATCAAGCATGTAGGAAAAATTCTCTAAAGCTTAAACTTCTGTTTGAAGTTGATCATTTGAGTTATTTCAATGTGATGAAGGTTGCTTCACATATACCACGTCTTACCAGATAGACACAAACTAATGTGATAGCCAACTACGAATTACAAACAACACTGGAACAAAAGATGATCTGCAACTGGAAGTGCTATGTCTGGAAGTCCAAAGGTGAAGCTACTGGGGGTAACAAGATGTTAAAGCTTTAGCCTGTCAATCTGGAAACAAAGGAGCAAAAGGAAACGCAACTAAGGCACCATTTGATGGTTTAGTACAGCAACTAAAACCTAGAGTTTAGCATATCATAACTGAACAGTACATTATAATGTAAACACAATCTTACACACTCACTGCAAAAGGGATAGGTAAAAAGAATTCATGGACCTCCACCAGCCTTGCTCAAAACAGCTGCCTCCTGGAAATTCATCGAGAAAAATTAGCATAGAATACAGTTTTGCAGGAAAAAAAGGTTTGAGGTGAATTATCCATTGAAAATTGGCTTACTGTCTCTATGTTTCCCTCCCCATTAGCTGGTCCTAAGGAGGTAGACTGATTTTGCGAAAATCTGTAAGGTAACGTCAAGAAAATGTAAAATTAGATCCAGAGAGATGGATCATGACTCCAGTTGGCCCCAAAAAACAACACAAAAAAAAATTCTATTAAAAATTGCAGAAATGAGACGGACCTGATTGCTCTGGCCTTCTTTTTATCTTCCTCCACTGAATCAGGTTTAGAAGCCGGAGCAAACCTTGCAAGCCTAGCTTTCTTCTTCGCCTCCTCGTCAGCAGAAGTAGATTGAGCAAGCCCAAACCTGAGAAACAATAAAAAAAATATGAATAAGCTGGTCCACCAAAAAACAAAAAAAACCACCCTTTGTTTCTTTCCACGAATACGTGCCGACAAGAATGAAAAGTATAAACCTTTCAGCTCTGGCCTTCCTCTTGTTCTCCTCTGATTTCTTCGATGCTTCTGATCCATGAGAACCAGTCCCTGTGCCAAACCTGCAGTAAGGTGCTATCAAAACGACAAAACTAGTATAAAAACCCTCTATGGTTAATTATTAGAACCAAACGCACCAATGAAATCTTTCACTTCGCAATCAAAATTGAAAAGTCGACAAATAAAATCGGCCCAACTAAACCAATAAATCTCTCATGCTGTAATCAAAATTAAAGAGTTTACATATAATTGGTCCGTAAGAATATTAAGTAGCACGCACGATGCAACAGCAGCAAAACCCTGACACCAAGCTGCGCCAAATAATAGGGTCGAAATAAATAGTTACCTTTCGGCTCGAGAATTTCGTTTTTCTTCTTCGGATAACTGCACGGCCATTCCGAACCTCTCGGCTCTACGAATCTTCTTCTGAATGTCAGTCGCGGCACCACCGGCAGCAGCGTTCTCGCTTCCCGTCGCTGCAGCCTTGGTTTCGCCTCCGCCGCCGCCAGATGAAGCATTCGATGGTGCGTGAGTGGTGGTGAGTGGAGGAACATCTTCGGAGCGAGGCGATGAATTAGGGTCGGAAGGGTTAGGCTGGGGCTGGGGCTGAGGCTGAGGCTGAGGATGAGCTAGAGGCTTTTTAGGGTTTTCGACCTTGGATGCGGCCGTTGCTGTTGCCATTTTTTAGATGAGAGAGAAAAAGGGTGAGATAGCGTTACAGACACGCGCAGATGAATTCCACCACCGTCGAAGAAAACCAATTGATGCGGCTGGAATGAAATTGCGATTATGGTTGAGTTCGGAGACGCGGAGGTTTGCTTCTGCAAAGGATTCTTTGGAGATGATGAGAGTTGAAACCTTAAAAGGGCGTGAAAACAAGGAACCCAAATTGTAAGAACTGAGAAGCGTGGATCAAAACAAGGATATGTCGTGGAGTTCAGTGGATATTCCTCAGATATGTCTAATCCTATTGTAAGACTAGGCCCATATTTAGACGTACTGACTGGGTTGGGTCAGCCGAAATCTAGATTTTGTATAGCCCGGCCCATCCAGTTGTTCGTTTGATCAAAAAATCCTTCTCAAATTCATTTTCCAGCCCCAAAAAAAAAAGATCAAAAGAAACATGTAAAGCTTTGAATATATTATTTATAAAACAATAATGGGTAATTCATTTCAATTGGTATTCAACGAACATATGTATAGACAACGAATTCTAGCTTAAGTGGTGAGATGTTTCACCTATAATCGATGGATAAATCATGGATACGAGTCATCAAATAAGTAAGTGGTTTGAAAAGAAAAAAGGAGCATGTGTATATAAATTTGGGAAAGAATAAATTATTCTTGATCATTTTGAAAAGAAAAAATAATGAACATGTGTATATAAATTTGGAAAAGAAAAAATTATTCACATGAGAAATGCAAAAAAAATCGTAAAAAAGTTACAAGTTAATGAAATAAATTTGATGTGAGGATCTTTTTTTACACACAAAAAAAGAGTTAAGTTATATACACCGGTAATATATACACTAATGGGTATGAATGCATGCTATCTAATTTTAATTTGAATTTTAGTTCTATTTTTTTTTTTCTATGTGGCATGCATTTATATCCCCCCGTGTATACAAAGAGGAATTGAAAAAAAAAAAAAAAAAGTGTACTAATGAGCTCATTATGAATTTATCAATAATTATTAAATTTTTACATGTACTGTCTTCTCAAAAGAAAATTCTACTTTGTGCAATACAAAAGTTCGCTTTTATTTTTATAAGCAACTCTTTTTTCTTTTTTGAAATCTAAAAAAATTCTCGCAATGATACTTTGACATACGACAAGACGCGACAAGGACGTTATACAAGTTTGATATGCATTCCTTGAGTCCTTAAACTATTTTGTTTAAACTACCTTAAATAATTTCCATTACTTGTATATATATATATTTATATTTTGTTTATTTCTTGACATTAATACAATAGAAGGTCATGTAAAGAAGAGGAATAGATATATTCTATTAATAAGTCAAGCAAAATGGAGTAAATACTTACAAAATGCTTCCTCAATCCAAAATGTTTGCCATGCTTTTTTATTTTGGAATGTTTCAAAATAATTGTCATGTTACAAAAAGCATTTAGTCTCCATTTCGAATGTTATCCTTTTCTTTATTCGTACATATCTTATATTCAAATTCAAAAATTAGAATTTAAGGGGTAAATTGAAAAAAAAAGGTATAAACACAGTAATCAAAACAATGAGTGTGTTTTGATAGGAGCTTATTTGAAATATTAAAAAAGGTGATTGGAAAGGTCAAAAAGTGTATCGAAATTTATGTTTATTATCCAAGCAAATTATTTTTTCTCAAATCATCCCAACCCAAAACACAAACTATTTTTAAAAAGTTAGTTTGAAATTTGAAAGGTAAAATTCAAAAGAAAACTACAAGTATTGTAATCAAAGCACTATCATTTAAAAAGGTTGGATTTTCGAGAAGTAGCAATCATATTGGGATTGAATGAGGGAGTAGCGTATAGGCATGATAAACGATATAATTAGTTTGTGGATAGTCAAATAATGGAAAAAATTATTTGCTTGTATCATAAATATAATTTTTAACACATTTTTTTTATATTTTCGATGATTTTTTTATCTCAAATATATCTCGTCATAAAAAGTGCTACAGTAATCATTTCAAATAATATTTTATCCAAAGTACTTTTTTTCCCTTAAAATTGATGCCCGTGGGATTACAATATGTTACTGTTAAAAGCGAGAGATTGACCGAGTATTTTGCTCGTGGATAAATCCTTTGTATGTCCCCTCTCTTAATTGCCAAAGACTAATGAAATCCAAGAAGGATATGCTGCTTTTGGCTGTACTTCCACGCAGTTAAGCTGGAAAAGACTACCGTTGGGCAGTGGAAGGGGGACAATTTCATCACAAAACAAAAAGGCGGAGGCAATGAAAATGGCATCCATTGTTGTCTTAGCTCCAGTAATGCTGGAATTGGGATTTCTCAGAGCACCGCCAGTCCCTATTCCCCCAATTACTCGCCCAAGATGGGTTCCGTCGTTACAGTTTACCGCTTCTTCCTCACGATCTCATCTCTTATTTTCAGCAGGTCAGCTCCGCTAGTGCTCTAGCATAGCATCACTTTTACATCACTAACTAGGAATTAGCATTTCCGTTTTTGTTTGAATTGTAGGCGGGTACAATAATGGAAGGTGGTTCTATCCAGCAATTGCCTGCACCAGAAAAACCCAACAGGAGGAAAGTTCGTCTATTTCTGGTAACAACTTTGATTCTTCAAGTATTAATCATGCAAGAAAGTTAGCTCAAATATCTCCCTCACTCTCTCTCTCTCTCTCATGTCTGCGCCTCTCTTCTTTTATCTTTTAGCATGACTTATTTTGTACGGTGGTTCGATGAATTGGTCTTGGCTGCGGCAAAAGATAAACAAGATTGGCATAACTGAATGCGAGTGTTGGTGCTAGGCTTTTGAAATGATTGATGATTGCCATCATAAACAATTTGAGGCCTAGGAATTGAGCACCTTTGGTCCACAGCTGACATAGACCACACTACTCTTCTTTGACACCAACGTCCTCGGCCCCTGACTGCATTGAATTTGATATTGAACTAGTACTGAAATAGTAATGTTCCATCTTCACATATTAAGGAACAACGTATTTTCATTTGGAAATCCGTATGTAATATCGACACTAAAAAATGGGATAAAATTTGGCTAGTATAAAGCACTCCAACTTGCTTCAAGTGAAACGTGGCTTTAGGCTGAAATGGGTCTAAGCTAATAAGGTCTTGCTCCACCCTAGCTGCCAATATTTGAAAATGGAGATTTTGCATATCATATGGAGTTAAGAATATTGTTGCTTTTGCAAAGTGATGACTCTAAGTGTGAGAAAGAACTTTTTTTTGGTTTTTTTTTTGGGGGGGGGGGGGGTTTGGGGTGTGGGGCAGGTTTCAGTTTTCGTGTTTATGTTGCATATGCATTACATCTCACCTTCCTATCTTGCATGGTTGCACAGCTTAGTGGTTTCTATGTCTTTCTGTTATTTATACCAACTGATTTTTGCCTCAAATTTGAATCGACTAAATTGGACGATTGCAATCTTATTTTACTTGTGAGAACTTGTGGCATTCTGAAGTATGTTCTTTTATTGCTGCTCATTTGCAATACTTACCCATTCATCTGCACCACCTGAAATAGTCTCTTAACTACACTTCCCAGTTTAGGGTATTTAGCCTCAAGGTTTTCCAGGTTATTTTCACAGTCAACATTTTTCCAAATTATTCACTCATTATGATCTCTTTTCACAAGTAGTATGACTTTTGAAATTCTTCACAGAGGGGGAGACTGGAAGTGCACCATCTAGAAATGACATAAATGATGTAAAGAAATCTCACAATATTTCTTCTGATGGTAATTCACAACGAGAGGCACAAAAACCTGAAAATTATGTCTCTTCTGTCAGAACTGTTGCTTTATGTGTAAGTACCATGAAAGTTATTTATATTTACTGTACTTTGAAAGTCATCTAGTGAACCACGAATTGAAGTCAAAGCAGTCAACTTTTTTTTTTTTAGGTGTTCTCAGCAGTGGCATTTGGTGTTGCTTTAGGATTCAAAGATGGAGTTGACAAGGCATCTGAGTTTTTTGCTGGGTATGTTATAGCAGCAATTATTGAGTTTTTTAGCCTTATGATTTTGGCTGAAAAAGAAAATACCAAAACAAATTTTGCATTTCCCTCTTCCTTTTCTGACACCATTTATTTTTTAAACTTATTACATTGTGTTAAGATGTTACAACCCGTATACGAGGATGTAAAAACTGACCTACAGCACAAAGATTGAAAGTTTTTTTCAAAATTATAGATCGTCAAAATCAGATCCATGTCGGCCATTCCTCAGTGGCAAGTTATACTTAAATTTCTCTTTGGCTGTTTGGTCACCATTAGAATTTACCATTAAAGCATCACACAGAAATTGATTACTGCTTTTGCTACAATAAATCAAATTACTTTGTCAGCTCTTTTGCTTGTCCTAACGACTACTTTCACATTTAGATGCACATCAGAACACGTCATCCTTTTATTCTACTATTTAATTTTCATACTGGTTGTAGAGCCTCAACGTCAATTCATCTTTCCTACTCTTTTTAGTGCAAAAAGTTCCAAAAATTTAGAAGGTTGAAAAGTTCAGAGGCATATATCTTGTAGTAAAATTCAAGAAGTAGGAGTTTAAGTGGCTATCTAGGTCCTGATCTGCATTTAGGAGAACATTCAACTTTGAAGCATTTAGGTGAAAAATGAAGAGTAATGCTCTATTAGAATATATAGACAGAGTTATGAAGTAAGATTGTTTTTGGTAAGATTTACAAATCTGTGAAGAAGGTAATGATGAAAAGCTCTAGGAATTCTACCAAGCTTAATTGAACAGCTATTCCCAAAGGCTGCTCAATGTGCCTAAGTAATTTCACACTGTTTCACCCATATGGAATTTCATGTTGAGAATTCTTGTAACTTTATGAGGGCATACAACAAATTCAGCTAACTTTTAGTAATTATGATTCGAGAAAAGAAATGAAATAAGTGTTCTTGCCTCGTGGGATAAGTACAGTTACAAACTGTGGACTAAGAAAACACTGAAAAATAGAAAAGGTGCCGTTAACTCATGAGGAATAAAATCTCAAGAACTAACTTAAACAATTTTGGCGAGTAAATTGGTGTACTAAAAATTTCCTAAAGAACCAAAAATTTGGTCTACATATCTGTGTACAAATGTGACCTTTCAGTGTGTATGAATGTCTGATCATTGCCCGTCACATTCTTACAGTTTCTGCCTATACTTCCAGGAGTTTCCTGAACTTGATACAATTGAGATATGAGTGTTTTCACTTTCAGGTACTTACTGGAGCAAAGTTTGTCAGTTGACAATCTGTTTGTCTTTGTTTTGATCTTCAAGTACTTCAAAGTTCCGCTCATGTATCAGGTGCTGATTGGACGTCACCTGTTCCACTCTCACAGTTCTTCTTCTCATTTTCCTCTTAGCTCTAGGTTCAGCTTTTGTTGGGTTCCTTGAGTAATATATCATGCTGAATTTCTACATTTTGCTTTGCAATATAGAATCGGGTGCTGTCCTACGGTATTGCTGGTGCTATATTCTTCAGATTGTCGCTGATACTTCTTGGAACAGCCACACTTCAGGTTCTTCATCACCATGACAAACATATGAAGACGCACACACTTGTTTACTTATCCCAAAGATTGATACTTAAATATGTGTGCCACTTATCCCACATGCTGAGTTCATTGTTTCTCTGATCTACTCTTAGAGGTTCGAGGTGGTAAACCTACTGTTGGCTGCAATACTATTGTACTCCGCGTTCAAGGTGCAATTTATGTTCTTATCACATATAGTTGCCATGGATTGTATAGTACTTTGACTTCCTTGTAAATCGTTGAATAGAGCTAGTTTTTTAGATGACTTATTACTTGGTCCTTCTCTGCTTCTTATACCACTTTACATATTGGCTTCTAACTAAGTACTAAAACAGATTCACCTTATATTATAATTGGTTGGCCATATCAGAGATTACTATCCACTTGGAACCAAGACCCTCAACAGCTTGAACTAATATTAGTTAGGTAAATGGTCTCCTTATTGTTCTTCTGAGTAGGAATACTATATTATGCAAGATGAAATAACTTCTCCTGCTCAGAACAATTGGATGTCCTTGTGATTTTCTTTTATTTCTTGAAATATATTAATAAATCAGGTTTGGCTCATTAATTGTGCATGTATGCCCATACGCACATATAAAAAAACACATGTATACATATTCACATTCACATCTCTAATAGGGTTCTTAGGACATGCATTTACGTTCTTGAATTGCTGATTATTTCCATTTTAAACCCATGCTATTTGTATTGTTGATTTTGCAGAGTAACTTCAATTCATGTTCTTGAATCGGCATGTTTTCTATCTTTTCCCTATAATCTCGTACTTTAGTCTTGCTTATTCACTAGTAAATTCATGATTACATTGCTCTTCTTGTCTCACTGTAGCTGTTTGCAGAGGAAGAGGAAGATAGTGATCTATCTGATAATTTCATAGTGAAGACATGCCAGAAATTCATCCCTGTAACTTGTAATGTGTTCTTACTTTTGAACTTATTCCTTTCCATGTCTACACTCCTGAGTTGCTAGTTTGTCCTAAGGGGTTTCTTCTTTTTAATAATTAAGCATTGATATGTGACTGATTCATTGTTGGTAATAAGCATAAAATTGTGAAACTTTTTATTTCTATACCTCGAGCAAGCTTTTCTTTTCTGCTGGCCCAGTGGCAACATCTCATGTTATCCACTATTGGCTAAATGCAGCCATGCTCACAATGAACTGGTCTTCAGCAATATACCTCTTTACAACATGCCCTTTTCATTTTTCCTATATTGTGCATCGTATTAACCTTTCACCATTTTAGATTGTGGCAAAAAGATGGGAGAGATCTTCACTACATATTGTTGCATTCTTTCCTAATCGCAGAAATTCTGAGTCCTTTCTTTTTCTACTGTTTCAGCAAATTATGATGGGAACCGATTTCTGACAATTCAGGATGGCGCGTGGAAAGTAAGTCTTTCTGCAATATGTTGGATTTAAAAATTTACATCTGCTGTCCAAGACTTTACTTCAACACTTACATTTGTCAAAATCCTACTGCACACAGTGGCTTGGTATACAGGCACATGAAACTGCATACAGGGATCTTATTTATTATTATTAATTTTTTTTTACATGAGCCTTGGACATCTGTATTCTCTGAAGTTGGAAGCAACTTTTTCTTAAATAGATATGTTTCTGATTCCTAAGACGTGTCCACATTTTTGGCAGGCTACTCCTTTGCTTCTGACCGTAGCTGTTATTGAACTCAGTGATATTGCATTCGCAGTATGTCTTCATTTCCCTTATTCACGCAATGAAGAGTTTCTAAAGTTTGAGGTTTGAGCAGGATGAATTTTTCTTTATCTCTCAGGTCGATTCAATACCAGCAGTTTTTGGAGTAACAAGAGACCCTTTTATAGTATTCACATCCAACCTTTTTGCCATTCTAGGTACATTCTTAATTCTAGCAGTTAGTGGTTCTGCGATAAAACAGGGTTGTTGTGCACTGAAATCCACCTGTATTTGGATGACATGAAGTTCTGCCCAAAATATAGTATGTTATGCTCAATACAACTATTCTTGAACAACTTCTCTGTTGTTCCTTTTCAGATTTTGAGGTTATAGCTCCCATATCAGTGATGAAGAGTCACCAAGTTATGACATTTTTCTTTAAAGTCTCATCTCTGTGATCTAATCGCATGAGATGAGATATGCGCCATGTCTACCGAGGACTATGACCTTTATCTGCTTTTTGCAGGTTTAAGATCATTATATTCACTCATTTCAGAAAGTATGGCGGAATTGGACTATTTACAGGTGACGTCGCCGCATCTGTATTCGTTTTTTAGGTGCCCTGTCTGTGTCGTTGTTGAAGTGAAAGTTCTTTGTGGTTCATTCTTCACTTCATGCAGTAGCATTTCGATTAGCATTGCTAGCAGGAGAGCGTGCTGCAAAATTAATGCTTTCATCTAATTACCTGTTTTCTTGATCAGCCTGCCATTGGTGTTGTTTTGAGCTTTATTGGATTCAAGATGATCCTTGACTTCTTTGGTGGGTCTTCTGCGTACACACTATCCCATTTCCTCTCCGTCTATTCATTCAAATTTCATCAAATTCGTTATATAAAATTTTCTCTGTAGGTTACCATGTATCAACCGAGGTTTCGCTGGGCTTTGTTGCTACATCGCTCAGTGCCGGAGTGTTGTTGAGTCTGCTGAAGAAGACCGAGTAGGGAGGGTGAAAATAGAACAGCGAGATAGTGTGATTGCGTAGATGTGTTGGACGTGGGTTCTGCAGCCTTTCTTGTAGATCAGATGAACGCTGAAAAATTTTGATGCTGATCATACATTTACAACACTAGTTCACAATGAAAAATGCAAATCATCTATAATTTGTTAAAGAATGAGATTTCGTGTATAAAAATAAATTTGTTGGTGGATTAAACTCCTTAAATCATTGGATTTGTACTTGTAGTCATCATTAAAGTAATGAATTATATCTTTCTGTTTTTGTTTTTTTGTTGTTTAGTTAAGAACTGCTATAAAAAGAAATCTTACTTTTAAGAACATGCGTAAATTAACTTTTTACAAATGATCGGGGGTAAAAGCAAATTTTTTCTAAATTTCAAATTTTCATTTGTCGGTAAGGGTAAAATTATAATAAACTGAGTAAAATCAAGATCTAATAATGATATTGAATGGAAGGTAAAGATAAAATAGAACATATTTGTTGTTTTTTTTTTAATATGGAATATAACAACAATAATATTCACATAACGAATAGAAGTAATAACTTCTTCTGGCAGTTCTTTCGACTTTGTTTTGAGTACTCAATAAAAGGGTGCTGGCCTGCGGACACCCCCCCCCCCCTCCGCCACCAAAACAGAAAATAGGGGGTAGCTGATAGGACTTATTGGTTGGTAGCGTCCATTGAAACGCTAAGGCGGCTTGTCACGGTTTTGTGTGCCGTGACGTGCCCACTTAAACGTGACTAAAGATTTTCACTTTTGTTTGGACAGTGTATTATTTGAACAGTAGAACTGCCCTTACTGAACACAGGCTGAACTTGCCTTTTAACCGGTACGCGAGCGAGGGCCTCTACTCAGCCAGTTTTCCACCTGGTATAGCTTTACGAATTCTATTCGGATGGGATACTAAAATTTAAAAAAAAATACTGATAATCAAAATAAATAGAGAAAATTTCTATTCGTGGGGATTATGGAATGGAGCTGCCAATCTCATCCTGCCATGTTTCAGAATTTAGCCTAAAACGTTTGGACAGTGTATTATTTGAAATATTATTTAGAATAATTACTGTAGCACTTTTTGTGATATGATGTATGTGAGATAAAAAGGTGATTGAGAATATAAAAAGGTAGGTTGGAAAATGTGTTTGTGATGCAAGCGAAATATTATTTGAAATAATTTTGGTATCCAAACACAAGAATTCCATCATCTGTAGATAACTACTCTTAAATATTTACTCCATTTTGTTTGTTTGAAGTTTGCAGTAGGCAGAATGTATGGTTCCAGAAATGCTGGTTACATACATTCTCGCATGCAAGAAGGAGGAAAAGAAAGATGACTGCCGTTTGACAACAGAAAAAAGAGAGAAACAAAGAAAATAAAGCAAGAGCAACTCTGGCGACTAGACTGCATTCCTTTCCTTTGCGTCACTGCTGGCGACAAGTGGAGCAAAGCAAATTGAGAAGGTTGGAGAATGGAAGTCCAACATTCCATCTGCTGCCGCCTGTGCACTGTACTCCTTCGTCTCCTATAAAGCTGCCCCCGGGCGATCATCCTTCTCTCACCTCCTCCTCCGCCTCCTCCCCGTCCTCCTCCTTTCTCAGCCATTCCGAAGCTCTGATTCTGCGATCGCTCAACAAACAATTTCAACTAGTAATGGCCGCTCCGTAAGTCCTTTTTCCTCGCTCCCTGAGCTGGAAATACTACTATGATGAGACTTTTCAATCTTTTTCTGAATAGAGCTGTGAATAATAACTTCAATTGTGCACCGCTACTATCTTGCAGAAGCGTGATAGAGGTCCTTCCTCCATCTTTGGATTCCACATCTGAACCACCGCCTCTCTTCGATGGGAACACTAGGTACACACATTCTTCCTCCTCCTCTTCAATGTTATGGTTCGTCATTTGTGTTTTCCTTCTTTCTTTTTTCTTTTTTTTTTTAATAAATATTTATTTCCTTTCTTTTTCTGCCTTCATATTTTTTCCCCCTTAATATGTATTGTGTATAATTTGATACTTGTGTATAAGTGCGCTGTGTAATACGGATGTGTCTATTTTTTCTGGAAGGTTGTATATAAATTACATGTGCCCATATGCTCAGCGTCCCTGGATTGCCAGGAACTATAAGGTTTGTCAAATGCCCCGACTTTTCGGTTCTGGTCATATAGTGACTGCTGATTAACTAGCACCTAGTTTTCTGAGGTTAAATATTTCTCTCTCTCTCTCTCTCTCTTTTTTTTAGGTAATTTAATTAAAGGTTATTTTCCCCTTTATGCAGGGTCTGCAAGAAAAGATTAAGTTGGTTGCAATTGACCTCCAAAACAGGCCCGCTTGGTACAAGGAAAAAGTTTACCCTGAAAACAAGGTGATCCCCTCTCTGGAACCTTCAAATCATCATAATAATAATGATGCAATTTACTTGAATCAAAGAATTTTTCTTTTCAGTGGTGAATTGTAAATAAAATTGCTGAGTGAATCTGATAGCTAATTGTGTTTGGTTTCCCATAGGTGCCATCCTTGGAGCACAACGGTAAGGTGATCGGAGAGAGCCTGGATTTGATCAAGTATATCGATGAGAACTTTGAAGGGCCGCGTCTCCTACCTGATGTAAGACTTCAAGAAACCATCGCTATTTATTCTTGATCGATGGATGTTCTTCCGTGTCTATTTCTCCCTCCCAATACATGGGTGAAGCTGGAATGTTGATTTTGAAATTGCAGGACGCTGAGAAGCAGAAATTTGCTGAAGAGGTGATAGCCTACAGTGATACAATTGTGAGAACAGAGTATGCGTCTTTCAAAGCAGAGGACCCTGTGAAAGAAGCTGGCGGTGGTTTTGATTACTTGGAAGCAGCTCTCCAGAAATTTGATGATGGCCCTTTCTTCCTGGGTCAGACCATAAGCCTGCCGGACATTACTTATGCTCCATTTGTCGAGAGGTTCAAGGGCTTCTTTGAAGATGTGTGGAAGTATGATATCACATCGGGCAGGCCTGCATTGGCGGCATGGGTTGAAGAGATCAACAAGATTGATGCTTACAAGCAAACAAAATGTGATATTAACAAGACCATTCAGCTCTACAAGATTCGTTTTATGGGTGAAAAGTGAATTTTAGATTTTTCCCTTAATGAGCGGTTTGACCAAATTCCGTTCTGTAATAGAGTGTGTGTGTAGTTGGTTTGCTTTGAAATGTGGTAGTGTCGTATGTTTCGCCCAGAAAAGGTGATCCTTTTTTTGAAAAAATAAATTTTCCTGTACCTTGAGTTGGAATGATGATAATTTGGAATAAATTTTAGTGTCTTAAATGGGCTCTCTTTTTTTTTTTTTTTTATCTAGTAGAATTATAAAATTATGAACGTTAGTTGTGTATTTATTATAGTTACTCTTTCTTTGAAGGGGACGATGAGAAATTTATAATCACAAAATAAGAGAGGTTGGGTTAACTTCCTTTGATACTAAATTTACATTCTATCCATTATTCCGAATTATTGTATTAACACTTTTATGATTTGAAGTATGTGGGATGAGAAAGTTATTGAAAAACGTGTTTGCATTGCGAATAAATAAATTTGAAAAGTGTATTTGAAATGTTTTTAGTTTTTCTTACTAATCTATACATGGAAGGAATAAAACAAATTTTCTTGATATTGTCTTTTATTTATTGATGAAAGTTGGTTTTCTTTAGTTATAAAATGACTTCTAGTAATCAAATGATGCAAAAAAGGTTGAATAATCGACATTCATATGCATATTTTGGATTCCAATTTAAAATGTATCAAAGCTTTGCGTGTGTGTTTTTCAATCCTTTTAAAATCCTCGCAATGGTTCTTAGTGCTATTAGCAAAACTTATCATACACATATATACACACATACATACACAAGTAATTATTAATCTCTCTTACATGTATATAATTTTCTCAATTAATCTTACTATTCAAATATTCTAACACCTGAACTATATTTTAATAAGCGCTCATTGAGCACCTGTTATGTTGATCCATGCTAAATGTAATAACTAATGGTAAGTAGTATCAATGTACATACTTTCATTATTTTGTTATGGACTAATTTTGTATATCTTTCTATGTATAAAGGGTGAGCATCCTTTAATGTCAAAATTTGTTGTCAATTAATAAATTGCTTAATATACCATTCATCTTTTAGACTTCTACAACCCACTTCCCCTTCTTCCTCATACTTAATCGCTTTTCTTTCTCTCAAGGAAAATATTCAGTACAATTTCCTCTAAACTACCACTAACCCGTGATACTCATACTATATTTTAAAAAGTGATAAAGGTAAAGTTTTGTTCCTCTAATTAATTTGGTATTCATTTGTCTTTTTAACATTTATTTATTGATTATTTTCTTCTTAATATGCACACACATAATCTTACCCCGTTAGTGAGTTGAATGCATGACAATTAATTTAAATTTAAATTTAAAATATAAATTTTATATATACCACGTTATGGTAATACGTATTAAAATGGTCAAACTCACTTTTTAATAAAACATAATACTAGTGAGCGGGGCATATATTATGTGTATGCATATTTTAGAAAAAAGGTAAATAATAAAAAAGATATGGAATAAAAAATTAGTTAGAGAGATTTTTGGGAGGAAATGCATTAATCAATTAAGATCACTTCCCGTTTGGATTGCATTTTCCGTCATTTTTCATGAAAAAATTACTGTAGCGATTTGATGTGTGAGGAAAAAAGATAATAGGGAAATGTGTTCACGGAAAATGACGAAATTTTTCTACGGAAAACCGCAATCCAAGCAAGGCCACATGTAAATGTCTATTGTCGAAAAATTAAGATCCGTTAAGATGTGTTAAGTCACGTGACACTTACTACGAGACTGGGAGACGGCAAGTTGGATAAATAATGATAAATGTTGGAGGATTATTTTTAAAAGGGTAAATGTTAACTACTAACCTCAAATCCTATCCACGCTTTAATATATAGTAACACATATTATTGTTTATTATCTATATCTATATGTATTCAGGAAGGGATTTTTAGCAGAAACTCTCTCAATGCCTTCTAAAATTGTCATACTTTTTTCTAGATTTTTGTATTTATTTTAATACATAAAAAAGTAGTGGGTTATAACTCACCTTATCACCAATCAATATTCCCACTATCTCACTCCCCATTATCCCACTATCTCACTCCCCATTATCCCACTATCTCACTCCCCATTATCCCACTATCTTAACTCATATTTT